GTTCGGTTTTGATTAGTAACGTTGAAAGTTCGGTTTGGCTTTGGGCCAAAATATGTTGGAAGTGAAATGCAATAATAATAATAACGATAATATTAGTCATGACGTAGACTAGGAACAATGTAATAATAATAATAAATAATAATTTTAATAATAATAAAAACTATCTGTTTAATCGATTACCATCTAAAATATTGTGGATCCTTCCGATCAGACGGTCGTACGGAACGTTCCTGATGATTTTTCATTCCAAAAATGCAAAATTAAGGTTTCAATAGAATTATAATAATAATAGTAATATAAATATTCATATAATTAATTATTAATTACATAATTATGCAAAATACGATGAATATTATGCAAACTAGGCATTCGTTGATTTCGTTGTCAGCTAATTGCATTGAAATTTATCGTGTAAACGTGTCGTTTAATCTGATTAATTATAATTATTGATGTAATATTGATCGATTTTGATTAATTATAATTATTGATGTAATAATAATTATTATTATTTGTTTCGTGGTTAGTGTATTGCTAAAATTTACGAAGGATGATTTGTATTGCAGAAGAGGAGTGCATAGGGCACTGGACATCGTGTTGAATTGCATTCGATGGTTTTATTCGTCGGGTGTTATTTCTGACAGATCTATCAGAAAGCATTTGATTTGTGCGTTATTATTATTAATATTGTTAATTGTATTATTACTATTACTGCTGTCAGATGGATGCAAAAGCCGAGAAACTGGCTCAGGCGAGACGAAAGGTGAGATTTGTCTCGAGAGTGATAATAGTCTGTGAAATTATTATTTTATGTTAATTTAGAATTGTTATTATATATTGTTGTTGTTGTTATTATTGTTATTATGTTATAATATTATATATTATTACTTACTTTTATGTATTAGTATTATATGTTGTTATTATACACTATTATTGAATATTATTATATATTATTACTTATTATTTTGTTTTAGTATTATGTGTTAGTATTATATGTTGTTTTTATTATATATTATTATTGATAGTATTATATGTTATTATTGATATTGTTATATATTATTACTTATTATTTTGTGTTAGTATTATATGTTGTTATTATTATATATTATTATTGATAATATTATATATTATTATTGTATATTGTTATTATATATTATTATTGTATATGATAATGTGATTTAGTTACGAGAGTACCAGTCAAAGCATCAGAATCGTGCAGCGTTCACGAACGATGGAAGTAACTGGTCATCGAGTCCGCATCAGGCCAATAGCACTGGTCGACGTTCTGTTAGTAGTATTCGTGAGTTTTGTTTTGATTATTATTATTATTATTATTATTATTATTATATAATGTGATATTAATAATATAATACAATAAATATGGTTTAATATAATAAAAAGGCATAGTAATGTAATATAAGAATGTAATTTAATAATAA